AAGCTTAGTAGGGGGGAGTGTGGGAATTTTTAATTCCCCCTGAGTAGTACTAGGGTTTGTGAAACGTTTATTTTACTGGGTTTTATGTTATTTCATCTTTATTTCATGTTCTGTCCACTGTAATTAAAGAATTGTATTGTAAAGTGTCTACGTGCAGAATCTCATCTAGGCACTTGGATGTTTACTTGATCAGCAGACTGTAGTGGAATAAATTTGAATAATTAAGCACTCAGCAACAGAGCTCAACCAATCAGATTGCTTCATTTGAATTTACCGCCAACTTAAGTTGTAGTTTTCCCATGATGCAACTTGAGGTGTCTGGATTTTAGCGTGAGATCGTGACCTGTAAATCAGAGCTTACCAAGATTTTGTACAAGCAGGACCTCGTCAGTTTGGGGCATTTTATGTGCGAGCGTGGCTGATTACAACTGTGGATTATATTTGGATATTATTTGACTATTTGCTGCTATTGCTTGATGTAAATTGCGTGCGTTGCGACAATTGGGGAAAAGACAAGACAATAGATAGTTCTTTGGTGAGTGACAATTTGATTATTGAGTTTGACGCCATATTGCCGTCCGCCATTTTGATTTCTTCTTCCCAGAGTTCCCTGCGGTCGGCCATCTTTATTTTTTACGGAAGTGACGCCATTTTAAGGAGTGATTCCTTCTCTGAGTAGGTACAACTCTTGTCTAATCTCAGTTTGATTGATATTCGAGAGTCGTGTCTGCTCTGAGGACTGTCAGCTCTGAGTCATTACTACTCCATTTGCCCCGAGGATCGCCAACTCCGAGTAATTATGGCTCTTGTCTAATCTCAGTTTGATTGATATTCAAGAGTCATATCTGCTCCGAGGACTCACTGCTCCGAGTCATTACTCCTCCATTGACTCCGAGAATTGCCAGCTCCGAGTGATTACTCCTCCAATTATTTAAGTGTTATATCTCCTCTGAGTTATATTTGGTCCGAGTAGTTACAGCTCTGTCTAATCTCCGTTGTGATTGATATTCGAGAGTTGTATCTACTCCGAGGATTGCCAGCTCCGAGTGATTACTCCTCCATCTAGTTGAGAGCCATACCTACTCTGAGGACTCACTGCTCCGAGTGCTTACTCCTCCATCTATTCTAGAGTGGAATCTGCTCCGAGGGTTGAGAATACAACTCTGTCTAATCTCAGTTTAATGATCGATATTCGTGAGTTGCTTCTTCTCCTCCTCCGAGTTATTGATGATCCGAAATTGATACAAGTTGCTGAACTTGACGTACCCTCCGAGGTGATTTGACTCCTCCAGAAGTTAGATACTGAGGTTACACTACCGGAACCAAGGTATTTCTGTGTTGCAAGGTTTATTCCATTGGAGCCAAGGTTACTCCACCGGAACTAAGGTACTCCGAGATCGAGAAGTAGCAGCTCTGGTCTAATCTCACCATCTGATTGACATTCCAGAGGTGTTATTTCTCTGTAGAGGGTGACGAGGTTTCTCCTGTGAAGTGGCGACTCCCGAGCAGAGTGCTCCAGAGCCTGGACCCCTTCCAAGAGACAGAGTTTGTGTCGGAGCCAAAGTTACACTGTCGGAACCGAGGTGCTCCAAGAGACACAGAGTTTGCGTTGATTTCTCTTGAGACGAGACGACTCCGAGCTGAGATACTCCGAGCGTGTGAATCGTTCAAGAGCAGAGGTTTTTATCGAGAAGTGGCGACTCCCGAGCAGAGGTTGCTCCAGAGCCTGGACCCCTTCCAAGAGACAGAGTTGTGATTGGAGCCATAGTTACACTACCGGAACTGAGGTGCTCCAAGAGACACAGAGTTTGCGTTGATTTCTCTTGAGACGAGACGACTCCGAGCTGAGATACTCCGAGCGTGTGAATCGTTCAAGAGCAGAGGTTTTTATCGAGAAGTGGCGACTCCCAAGCAGAGAGTGCTTTAGAGGCTGGTACTCTTCCAAGAGAGAGAGTTTGCGTGGTTTCCCCAGAGACGAAGTGACTCCCGGAGCTGAGGTTGCTCCTTAAGCTGAACAAACTCCATACAGAAGATTAAGAGACGTAGTGACTCCTAGAGCTGAACAAACTACAGGAGGAGAACATAGAGAGACGCAGTGACTCTTAGTGTTAAACAAGCTCCAGAGCAGAGACGACTCTTGAAGAGAAACTTGTATATTATATGGACATTTTGTTATTATATTGTAAAAACTTATGTTAGAATAGATTATAAAAACCCTGTACATAATTGTTTTGTGGAGCCATCTTCTATTGGTAACTGTCGTACCACCAAACCAGGTCGACACCCTTGAAACACCTCCAAAGATCCCTTTTCGTCGTCCCAGGCCTTTCCCCAGTATACAGGGTGCTCGGTGAGACGGCCCAGGCGCGACAATATCCCTCCGATAATATTATAATGAAGTAATAAGAGTACCTTTAATCTTGGGAATACTATAACTAAAAATGGAATTGTTGCATTGCTATTTTTGAAGATGGCCCTCTTGGAGTAGGTTTCCTTGTCGTCATTTGTTACGCGTGACGCCTTATTATAAGCCATATATATTTAGAATGGAATTTAGGTGGAAATCGCGGAACTATCACGTCGTACTGAATATAATTCTATAGTACAGGGCGTCCACAAAAAGTATACCCATCTTCGAAGCCAGGATACCTGAATTCTGAGCAATTTTTAAAGGTACGAAGATAGCAGTAAAAGCCCTAGTTTGTCCTCCATCCAATGATACGAAGATCATTATGTAACTGTCATGGATGACTGAGCAATCATGACTTTTATAAAAAGGTGGTAAGATCAGCACTGTGCCAAGTTAGCATTCAAGGAGGAATGACACAGTAAATGTTTTTTACGTGTTCAAAACATTATTAATGTTCAAATTCATACTTCGAGAAGATTCGAAGAGCCTCTTCATCAGCAATAAAACTTCTACTTGATGATATGCAGCTTTGAAGTCAATTGTATCCCCCCATGTAAAGTCAATCACTCTTGGTGAAATCCTCATTTTCTCGGAATAACTTTATTGAGTCTAAACACAAGTAGATTCATGTGGGACAGTATTGCTAGAATATATTTCAATAGTAAGAATAGGGGTTCTATAAATAGTACACGGGACTTGCTTTTTAAAACTTTGTTGGCTCTACTGATCAGGTTTCAGTTGAAGTATTTTTGCAGGCCTATTTTAGAGTAAGTTGAGCATTTTGCCAAACTTTTTTTCAAAAGAGAGTTACAGTCCCAAGTCCAATTTAGTATGGACTTAATGTCCTCTAACTTAATGTAACACAAAAAGAATACTAGTATTAAGCCAGTTCGGCCTTGCCACACAGGAAGATAACTTGGCACACTGCTAATTTTACCACCTCTCATAATGGTCAAGATTTCTCAGTCATACATGACAGTTACATAATGATTTTGGTACCATTTGATGGAGAATAAATCAGGCTTTTTACTTCTACATTTGTATTTTAAAAAACTTCTTAGGATTCCAGTAATTTGGTTTTGAAGTTGGGTATACTTTTTTGTGGACACCCTGTATTGTAATTGAATTGAAGTTTAGAAAGCGCTATCAGCATATATAAGAACTGAAAAAAACTGAATTATCTAAAACGCCATATTCCCTGTAGTTTTATATAACATACATAGATGTGAGTGACACTTTATTTCGTTACTCTGTGCTTGCTTCTCTGTGTAGAGAATATTGCACCCCACGGGACCTTTGGAATTGTGTGATAAATATGATTTATTAAGTAGCCTAATGATAACGAGTCTTTTGGTTTTAATAATTTACACGCAATAGAGTCACTGCGTTCTACTCTACAGTTCGGATGTTGAGAGTTAAAATATTTTCACGCCCACGTGGCTTAATTTCCGGCTTCCATACATTTCTGAAATATAGTGTTTTATGAAGCATACCACCCTGTTCATACTTGGGTACTTAATCATGTTATTATAACATGTCACTCCCACGTCCATATTGGTGAATTAGCGAAATTTACTGATTGGGCTACCTTCCAATATATCAGATCTGGGTTACGCCACAAACATTCGTGAGTGTGTCTTGCTATGAGGCAATTCGTCATTTTTATATTTAAACTGTATTTGTAAAAACTATATCCACGCTTAATCGTATATATTGGTTATGCCCCCGAATGATGACGAGCTTCAAATAAATCAAACTAACGTGTTACTATCCTGCTTCTGGAAAACTTTTTTGTAGGCTTGAATAATTAGTTATTTATTAAATGTTTTAAATATGATTAATTACTCATTATTCTAAACATTTTTTTTTAGTTTTCATGGTTTCTTAATGAAAACTTTGGTCGATTGATATTCTTTGAAGTAACTTAGACGTCGAATGTATATTTGTGTCGATATAACTGAATTCGAAATAGTTTACATATACTTTTGCAATATTGGAGTAGTACGCATTTTTACCTGTAAATAGCACAAATTATATTCTGCGCTAGCCTATCAACGAAATTACTTTCAATCACTTTAATTATCATCCATTTTACATATTCAACTTATGTGTAAAATATTTGAAAGAATATCAGGCCGTCAGTTTCAGGAATTTCTCGCAGCTTCTTTAAACCTGTCCGTATAATATCAAAAGATAATTATTATTTGTTGCAAAAGAGTACCAGAGACGGATTGACAGTTTCTAAAACGCCAAAATTTTATGTTCAACATTTTCAATTCATGATGGTTTTCTAAATTATTTTGCAATGAATAGAAAGAGGTTCCTCAATTTTAAGGAATTTGAACAGTTCCATAGTTTATTATGGACGTCTTAAACTGGGATTTGAAAAGATTGATTTTAACAATTCAAACTCATTATTCTTTGCTACCACATTAAGTCAAATCACTTATTATGTTCATTTGGAAAAAAACATCCCACCCCACCACAGCTATAAAATGAAGTACTTTCTAAATATTTTCTGTAAACCTATCAATAAAGATAAATGCGCAAATCCATATGTTTTGGGAATCGATTTTCTTAACAGTCTTACCTTTTCATATAATGACATCCCTTGAGCAATATGGGTCATCGCTACGACGGCTAGGAAAACCACGATGGAAATTTTACTTAACCTTAAATCCATGCTTTGCATATTTGTATCGAAATCTAATTAAGTTATTATTCAGATATAATATTTCCAGGCTCTCCGTCTTTAACTTGTGAATCTTGTCTCGCTCTCTTCCCTTTTATATGGTTGCCCGATGGCGAGCGGTTGTAGATTTACCGCTGTTCAGGTTTCATTCAAACTTCATGATTTCCTTTGATGAAAGCCTCAATACACACGTAAGCAATATTTTACCGCGAGAATGATAATTAATTAATCCATTTTCAATGAAGACACGGTACTGTAAATCTCGCGAGTTTCCTACTTCATTGGGATGGTTTGAAGAACTATTTCTTAACAACCTTATTTGTCCCAGAGAATTTGTTGCAAATAAGATATTGATGGAGATCAAGAGAAAGGTATTTACGCAACAAGTTAAAATTTAAAAATGATCGCCGACGGTGCTTAGAAAAGTATCAATAACACCCAGAATGTACCACTAATTATTGTGTGCTTCATACCTCCTAAGATTTCTTTATTTTAAGACCAAAGGTTTTTTATTTTTATCTCACACGTTAGGTCGCCTAGATTTTCCCCAGTCGCGGTTGTGGGCCTACGCACATTTTATGGGTCGAAACAATGTTAATGGCTTATTTATATACAATTCAATCATCTTTACGTTATTATATAATTTCAGATCAATGCATGTTTTGTTTTTCCAGCCTATTGGATACAATAAGTTTCGCGCAACGGGTTATTCGAAAACGTAGCCGAAAGTCCTATAAACATGTAGGTCATAATGGTTATACTGGGCAATACTGGTTTGAGAATGCTAATGAACGTTCATATTTCCTGTGAATATGGACTGATCAATGAAGTTATAAGAAGAAAATTCATCCTGGCATTGGGGTAGAATTGAGGGATTTGCATGGACACTGTTATCTATCGGTAAGATGAAGCAACATTGCACTACTCCAATTCTTCACTTGAATATTTCCGTCATTATTTCCCTTGGATCAAATCTGACCTGCACATTTTCAAGACTGTCTCAAGACATATCCCCTATAACGTTTTTGTTGTGGATACCTTAAAGGCAGGATCTATGCAAACAATCACCAAACTATTGATGAGGTAAAGAATATTAAAACAGAGATCAGGAGAATTTTTTTTGACAACATCACTGTTCCACAACTAGTTACTTTGACACGTCAATGCAACAAAATTGATGAACTTCTTGGAAACCAGTTTTTGTTTTCTCGATTTAAACTATTACGTATTAGTCATGTTGCGGATTATCATTTAGCACAAAATAAGATAATATAGTCAAGCTTTTAGGAATGCTCTCGGTTTGGAATTTGATTTGTAAACAAAGCAGTGATTCATGCATTTAGACTATCGATTTTGTTACATTGGCGTAATTAGTCGTCAAAGTAACATACATAAACGGACTTTCGTCAATGTAAGAGAAGCGAGGGGCTAAATATATGAATTACAACTTTATTTACGACACAAATTCCATATCAAAAAAACTTATTATAACTAGTTACATTTTCTAGCTTTTTGCCAAATTATAATATGTAACTTGACTTATAAGCAGATAAGTAGGTTCAAATCGAGAAAACAAAAACAAAAAACTCGTAACTAGGAAGTTTATCCATTTTGTTATATTGACGTTCCGTCAAAGTAACTAGTTGTGGAACCGTGAATTCGAACATGGACAGGGACACTACACTGTATGTAACGAACTTCGATTGAGAACATTACAAACTATTGATCTGTGCTCGCAATATGGAGGTACACTCCCCTCCATAAGTTTGGCAACCTTTTTTCTCCATTGGAGTACGTGTTAAAGCCTCTTTACGTTTGAATTTTTATTTACTTAACCGGCGATGAAATAACTTATGATATTGATGGAAACGTAGCTTGACTTTATTTCCAATACCTCCAAATTTTCTCAATTTTTCCCTCAGGTCGAAAATTGATGATAAATTTGATGAATTTTTGAAAATCTTCATTCTCATGTAATCCAATGGGAAATGGAGGGTTCAGGGCAAATCAGAAATCAGGATATCTTTTCAGTAAAAGATTCAGCAAAAATATTTTCATATAGAAAATTGAATTGTCTAACTTTTTTGAACACTAAGTGTTTAGTTTATTTGATGAATATTAAAGTTACAGCGCTTCAAAGTCATTTTTGAAAATTATTTTTCGGCTCCTGTGTTATTTCAATGGGAGAGGTTTTTTGAAAAACAATTTTGACTTTAAAGCCCTCTAACTTTGTTGAACCTGAAGAAACATATCAATTTTTTGTTAAATAAAGTTCGCAAATTCAATTACCTGCCTCACTCGTATTTTTTGCAAGGACTCGGATGGATGGATATTCTGTCATATGACTTGCGGCAAACCTACCATTTCCCATTGGTTAACATGGGAATGACGATTTTCAAAAATTCATCAAATTCATCATCAATTTTCGACCTATTGTAATTGAGGAAAAAAAATTAGAAAATTTGGAGGTATTGGAATCAAATTACGTTTCCATCAATAGTATAAGTATTTTCATCGCACGTTAAGTAAATAAAAATTCAAAGGTAAAGAGGCTTTAACACGTAGTTCAATGGGGGGAAAAGGTTGCCAAACTTATGGAGGGGAGTGTATATGATAATAAAACTTACGCAGCACAAAACTTACATGTCTGTAGGACAGGTCTATGAAAAAAGGGAAATCCTCTTATTGTTAGAAAATGCTACGCTATCAAAAGTGTAAATGATTTTTTGGACCACCCTGTATATCTTGATTAAGCGCTGGAGTTGATCGATTGCTCCAAAAAAGGATAATTGATATAAAAGCATTGCTTTGGCCATGGGGTGAGGGGGTTGTTTTGTGGTTTGATTTAGCGTTTAAGCTAAAAAAAACAAAATGTGTGAAATTCAGAATGCATTTTGAAAAGGTGGCGGTTTTTGGCACATCCTGTGCACACGGTTTAATTATAACGGTACGATGTTTGTATATAAGTATATTTTCACAATTATAATAATATTCTCCAAGCAACGTCATAATAAAAACAACAATTTATAGTTCGGGTCTATTGTAAACCAACCGGTATACTTTTTTTCGTTTTGTTAGAATGCCAAATGAGATGAATATAAAACCGGTTATCAAACATTTCACTCAACATCATACATTAAAACAAAAACAAATACTTCATTCTTTGCGATTAGGTTCTCTAAAAATAGACCGTTTTGCCCAAAATGATTAAAGCCTCATCGACTGGTCGCCACAATTGCACATGAATGACTCAATACATATAATGGTACTAAAGTAAATGAAATCAATACTTCATCATTCCAGTGATAATTAACCGGTCTAATATTAATAGACGCGCTATATCGTTCTCATTTGCATAATAACAGCCATAGAATAAAATAATTAACAACGTGACATGAGGACCCGTGGGTGCTACCACGATGAAAGTACTGACGTAGGAAGACTAAAACACATTGATCATTCAGATTCGGTCGCTGATCTAACATTACAATACGCTGGCAGATTCCACATGCTTAAGTTTTGTCGATCGGAATTGATATGATATGGTCCCGGGGATATGGTCAGCTGGGAAACTGGCAGGCGCAAAACTCCGTTATCAAATTCCAGTCTAGTTGAAAGCCCATGGATACACCTCTTATAATAGCTAAAATGATCAAAGAGATACTGAAAGTAATACTTCTAGTACTAACCCTAAAGTGCTGTCGCGTGTCTTAGACTATTAGAATAATGTATCATTTTTGACGGGAATACGTTTTTTGCTCCTTCCTCTTTTCAACTCAACCAAACATATTTAGATCAAAGATGACACATGCACTGGCGGATCCAGGGGGGGGGGGGGGGGGGGGGAGGAGCATGGTGGCCCAGAAAAAGATTTTAAGGCCCCAAACAATTTTGTCATTTTTTAGCCAAATTATCAAAAATGGGCCTTAAATGTTCAAAATTTGGGCTCAATTTTTGGTTTTAGGGGCCCCAATAGATTTTCCTAAATTTTGCCTGACTTGTAATTGTGCCCCCCCCCCCTCTCAATTTTTTGTTAGCTTTTGGATCCGTCAGTGACACGTGCTGTTAAACCTCACAAATGTTCTATTTTGTAATCTTGCTGAGGCAAAACGTATTGTCATCGTTGCAAACACCCTCAATAATCCACTTTTTGATGACCTTGATCTGTTATTCGAGTCAGATGGTTAAGGTGAAATTGACATATAAGTGTATTCTCAATAGTACCTCAACATAATAGTGACATGTGCACAATAGATTCTCATGAATTAGTAATTATTACGTATTGTCTTCATGTTCGGTAAAGCCTATCAAGTAGAACCAATAAGAATAACATTGAAACCTGAGTAGGAGTAATAGGCATTGCAATCATTTCGCTTCGAATGATACTTTTCTTTCAAGTACGTGATGTGTATTTTTGTTTTGTTTTGATGTTATTTGTTAGTTGGGTTTGGAGGTGGAAATAAACGAAGTTGTTAAAATATTGTTGTTTTATTGTTTTCATACAGATTGCCCGATAATTAACTGCAAAATATGCGATACTCACCTGCGGTATATGGCATATTCCGCAGTTGAGTATGGCAAGTACATATTCCATAAGTTTGAAGTGATACAGAAAACATCGATTTACTTATTCGAGAGAATCTGCTCTAAATGTAAAACTGTGCTGGTTTACCATTGTAAAACATAATACTTGTGGTTTATAGGTATTGTGTCTGGTCTTTGTCGAATGTTGATTTTGTTGAAATGTTACTCATATTAGAGAGATTTCGCTCATAAGTGAATGCATCTTATGTTTATTAGTATAGCTATACGTTATAAGATTAAGTGAATTACTCAGATGCGAGTAGGTAGTTGCCAGTTTCGCCACCAGGTGGCTGATTCGGGTGAATTAACATGACAGGGTATTACAAAATTCCCTTAAACTTGAATATGCATCAGTTTTAGTGGTTCACTTTTTATATAACCCTTATGTATCTGAAAGTTGTACAAATTAAAATATGTCCAGTAAAAGAAAATATTATCTGCCCAACACAGGAAAAGATATTTCACTTTTTGTGGTTTTAAAACATGGGGTATATGGGGAATCTCCCCGACCTAGAAATCAC